CTTCTTTTTTTCGTTTTCCCGTATATGGGCTGTCTCGAACCGATTCTTAAGGTTTCGTGGTAATTTCCGTCCCTTCTGTGCATGCATAATTTTTACCAATTTTTTCCTGCTTCATAGGTTTTCAATCGTGTTGAGAACATTCTTAATAAGCGCATTCCTTCAAAGAGCGCTACATCTACCGTAGGTAGTCATTAGCTTGTAAGCTACTTTTTACTAACTTTGCGGACTTTTCCCGTTTCGGTCTATTCTGGAATCCGATTAGCAATTTTCATCCTTAGCATTGCTCATTTCGGCGCGTGCCTTGACCCGGCCCGTAGGTGATTCCCCAGGCAGTGCCCAATTCCGTGACAAACAGGCAAACAGACATATGAGTAGGCCGATTACATTCACACAAGGATAGGTGCAGTACTCGGTACTAGAAAAAATTTAGAAGCACTGATAATGAGCGAAATGAGCAATGCTAAGGATGAAAATTGCTGATCGGATTCCAGAATAGACCGAAACGGGAAAAGTCCGTAAAGTTAGTAAAAAGTAGCTTACAAGCTAGGGGCTACCTACGGTAGATGTAGCGTTCTTTGAATGGAATGCGCTTATTAAGAATGTTCTCAACACGATTAAAAACCTATGAAGCAGGAAAAAATTGGTAAAAATTATGCATGCACAGAAGGGACGGAAATTACCACGAAACCTTAAGAATCGGTTCGAGACAGCCCATATACCGGGAAAAAGAAAAAAAAGGAAGCAAGCAAGGAAAACAAAACAAACGCTATCAATAGACGGAACGCACCCCGCGCGAGTGAGGCTACCCCGTTCCCCCCATCCACCAAGGTCCCTCATGTAAAAAGACCTCTCGAGACGGGGTGGAAATTGAAATGAGGAGATCTGACTGCTCTTCTCCTCTCTTTTCCTTTATAATGCACGCATCAGCTTGCGGACACGCTGGTGTTGTGTATTTAGGCTCAGTGCCTCAGGGCGCACATGAAAATGTAAACATGATTTCAACTGGGCCGGTTGACCAGCTGATGATCATTCCTAGTAAGCTTTCGGGAGAGGGTACCCCAAGGGAAGAGCACAGACAAAGGTAGCTTGATATGGTATGCTCATCGTAGTGGGCGGGGAACGCCTCTAATCGTAAGTGGGCAGTGACCGTTAAAAGAAAGGGACGTGAGCACCTTCGGCGAAGACTACCTAACAATTCACGTACAGCGGGAGGTGCACCTTGGAGGGCAGAAAAAATCCAAAGCTATAAACTGCCAAAAGGCTGTAAAAGTAAAAAGAGGCCAACGACAGACGAGAGTAAGATTACAATGTTCAGCGTTCCCATCGCAAAGGGAAGTGAAATCAGAAATTTCGCCCGCCCATTTTTCCCGTAATTGTGATGCACATGCTAACGTGGGTGGTCGACTGGCATTTCTATGCTAGAGAAGAGGAGGACGCACTCGACATCAACCTTTCTGGTAGCGCCGCGCATATGACCTCCTTTCAGAATTGTAATCAGTAGAAAGATAACACCTTCGGGACCAGCCGCTCTAGAAATCAGATTCTCTCCATCCTCCAGAAAAGTAGACTATGTCAGACTTCGCGATTCTAGCCAATGGAACCGGCCATTTCAGCGAATAGCGAAAACCCCGATATTCATGCTATAAACCAAAACTGCAAGTCGCCATTAACGAGCTGCCTCATCGAGGACTTCTCTCCCAACACTGCTCCACCCTGAGAGTTATCTGGAAGCCTAACCCATCCAACGTATGCCCATCCAACGTTCCTTCCTTACTCCTTAACCCCTAATCTTACCCTCTATCCCAACCTTAAAAACTAGGGCGGCGTCCCGCTAGCGAAGGTTTGGTTACAGGCCGGTTGCTCCTTGTATATGAGAAGCTAGCATTCGCCGAAATCGCGCGAAGTCTTAACATCTGTCTAATAGGCAATTGGTAATGGTGTTGTCCGACTGGTCGCAACGGTTTTGTGTCTTCGTACCATGTGAACGTTTGAGCGGACGCCCTGCTCACTTAAGTTATCGCCCACTTCCTCAGCATCTTACGGAAACAAAGCTCCATTTCACGTTGTAATGTAGAACTTACTTGCGATTGAAGAAAAATGGCAAGGAATTCAATACGAGTTTTTCAAATTATGTCACCTTGTAAATCAGTCGAATAAAAAATGCTTGCCTTTGTAGGCTCCAGCAGGAATTTTAATGGAGTCTGTCGACCTCCAGTTGACATGTGGAACCTAAAAACACGAATTATGACAAACATTCCCTACAACAGAAAAGGAACTTTACCGTTTCGCATTCAAAACCCATTTGGCTGCAGGATCTTTGTAGTGAAATTTGACAACGTGCGCAAGCATGCTTTCTTCCTTTATTTCATCATTGGCAAACTGCGGGATTCGTAGACCCCGACACCCAAAACGAGGATAAGAGCACACCACACCATCCCCACCCACACCCCCCCACCCCACCACACCTTTCCAGAGCCTTACCCATAAAAAGCAAACTAGACTAATTAAGCTATATAACTTACTGTCAGAACGACTTTCTTACGCCAAGGCACACAAAGTTGTTGAGTCGCTCAGCCCTCCCCACAAAAACGGTGGCGAGAGGTCTTGGAAAAAGATAATTTTGTTCCGGACTCATTTTAAAAAAACTGCTTTACAGTGTTGTTAATAACTCATTTGAACTCATACATTATACGAAGTTATACTATCGTTATTTTATCTTAACGTTTAGAATAACATCAATATGCGACATAAATAAAAAATAATTCGAAACTTTATCAACTAACCCCTCCCACTGGAATTTTCGATGGATGATCAATTTGTGCTCTTGAACGTCTATATTATCCGGTCCTTGTATGGGTGGCGAAACGTCCAGTTCTTAAATTATGGATTAGAAATTCTAAACCATACACTGTCAAGAAGAAATACCATTATTTGTTGGAGCAGTCGGAGATGAATTTACAACAGATGAAGGTTCAGAAGTAGATTCGGCTATTCTAATGGTAGCTGAATCGCCAGCTTGCACACCTTCACCCCTAAAAGGAATAGTGGGTACTTGACTTCTCGAAAAAAAAAGACAAAAAGCAAGTTTTATTCACTTTGGCGTCACAAGGCTATTGAAAAGAGGCTCTTCTTTCTCGGGCGTATTAGTAAAATCGACCTCGTCTATTGTTGAGCCTTCCGTGCAGCCTATGAGGAAGATTTTCAAAGAGAAGAAAAAGGATCAAACAGGAAGACGAGTGTTATCTACCAGTCATGGAGTGTTCATCCGTCCGTGTGATATCCGCTGATGAGCATTCGGAACGCGGCACGAAAATTTCCACCGGATGAACGTCGGTCTCCAAGTTAGCCGAAGAAGCATGCTAAATTACTCTTGTTGAAGAATTTTATTGCTGAATATATTTTATATTTACCCTACATTCACGTTCCCCTTCGTATGTTCGCTCCTATTGGCGCCGCAAGGTTTTATGGCTTGTTGTGGAGTTTGCTAACTTACAGACTGCATGATGTCTCTCCTTTACCATTCAGTCAGTCGAGTGCAGCTTCTGACGAACTTGGTGAATGGCATTCCCGCTCGATTGTTGTTGTAACTCTTCGAGGTTAAGATTTGGCTAGCCCACATCTTACATGCTTCGGTTTCTTCCATATATTTTCATCCTTATTCCCTCATCCATATTCCTACAGGTCCCTTTACGTTCTCTTCTGGCTGGTGCACGGCTGTATGGTGTAAAGCTACTTACATATAGGGTTTTACTTGTTTATGTTGTGTTGTTAACACTGCTTTTTTTTTGTTTGCCGATGGCGCACCTAGAGTGCATGATAAATAAATAAATAAATAAATAAATCCCGGAGGGATGGAAATAAACAATAATTTTCCCAACGCAGTTATGCAATTTCGCGCAATAATCAGAACAAGGACAATAGTGAGTATTCGCCGAAGCTCTCAACAATTCTATCGGAAGAAACCAAATAGGAAAAGGATCAAAAGAGCAGCAGGATCCAAAAAACCAATCGCACTACATAGCTTACCGGACTGCCGGATCTTTCTTCATTGTGGGCAGCTGGCGATGCAGCCTTAGCTGAGTCTGTAAATAGTTATATAAAAATATTCACAGACCAAAACAAACTAACTAACAACTCAATAACTTTGCTGAATTAAAGATAATTTTTTAAGAAACAGAACATTCCAATAACGCATAATGCCACATCACACAAAGATCAAAACATACCGTCACCCCCTTTCAAGCGACGGAGTGCCTCACGACCAACTGGACCCAAGATGTTGTTTGGGAGAAGACGCTGCAATCAGTCAAAAATCAAGAGCAATAAATCATTTCAATTGGATTAGGGCGTGGTTCACTGAGACAGAGAGCGAATTTTTCGCGTTCCATGGCGCGCACAACGTTTTTCTCTGCGGAACCTTGCATCACTGATGATAAGCGGTGGACCTAGGGTGAGGAAAGTCGCTTTCTGTTCTAGCGAACCACACCCATTGAAAAACATGTTCAACATAAAATAAAAGGCCAGAAATAAGAGGTGATGAAAATAAAGACTAACCGGACATAGATAGCCCACAGTTTTTACCGGTGATTAAATTAATTGAAAATCTAACTTTAGGAATTCAAAAGAAAAAACCCACTCGCTGTCAATGGTCTCAGGATCTGTAGAGAGCAATGAAACCGGAAAGCTGTTATTGGGTCGTCGAAGAGACGCCTTGTCAACATAAGGATTATGTTAATGGATGACCAAAGTATTAATACTAAACTGCTGAGGGCAACAAAAACATAATGGATCAAAAAACTTGTATATCATATGAATCAAAATTAAATTGGACAAAAAAAATTGTGGAGCACAAGGAGGTGAAGATGAGACGAAAATGATTCCCAAAATGAAGAACGGATGTGTCAGCTTGAACTTAAAAAGAACCTTAACCGAACTCTTAACAAAATGAGGATAGACTATCTGAATTCTAGGAAATAATATCAAATAATAATTTCACATGTATCAAAATTACAATAAGAAATATAATAAAAATAATAAATAGTACAAAATATAAAAATTTGTATGAATAATCACTACTGAAGATTACAGTGGTTATAAACTGATAAGAAATGCGGTTTCAAGTTGTTGCTTTTGTGGAATTGAGCCCCACTCAAATTTGAAGTACTGCGCAAGCATTTCTTGGAGGTCAATTCAAAAAAATGTAGTCTGAGGGAGCACAACATAACATAGTGAAACTTACCCGATGTCAATATATCCGTGGCTAACAATGTGAACAGCGAATTGCGGGGAATAGCCGCACCAAAAACAGAAGCCACATATCTTAAATACCCAGTGTTTCATGTTAGAAACTACAAGGAAAGAAGAATGTACCTGTATATCGCTACAAGATCTGGGCAAAAGTTTGGTTCGGAATGGGACGTTGAAGTGGTTCGGATTGCTGAAAAGTGAATTCCTATGTAAATACTCATCGCAGTGTAACTGTAGTACTGAATAGTATAGAAGATTACGTAGTATCGAACGGCTCTTTATCAAAGCTCCAAGTCAAAGGTGAATAAGAGTACACATCTGTTGCAGTAGGAAGCTCTTGTTGAAGGAGAGCTCTGTAACCAACACATCACATTAGTAAAAAAAAACGCAAATAATCGTTAATTTCAAGAACCTACTTTTCATACTGGAAATATTCGGAAGAGTAGAAGTCCTGGTGGTGTGTTTCAAAATGCTTTAGAGCATGTATCTTCAACAGCTCCTTAGTTGGGAATTCCAGGAAATCATCAACGTGACCGTCGATCGAACTATCAAGCACACATCGCCATTTCAAAAATGTGATGGAGTCACAATCATCTTCCTCCTAAAATACAACCACAACCTGCGATCACAGACGAAGCAGCAAATGCACGTAACGAATGACCCGGATACGGGAAGAACTTCGAGTAAAAAAGAGCAACATACTGGAGGTTACTGCTACAAGTTATCGCTGCGGCTTTCAGCAATCTCAGAAAAAAAGCAACCTCACGAAACTCTCCGTTCTCCGCATGACTAAAATAGCAAAATGAAACTGCTGAAAGGTTTCGGTATGCCATATTATTGCATCTTGAGCATGGGAGTGCACGATCATTTCTTCAATGGTTGTGTCCCATGATAGCTTAATTATACAATAACGAACTTTTTTCAGCAGGAATAGGCGCACGTGTCAATCATACGATTCTGCGACTTCTCTATCGCATGTTTGGTCGAAACGTATCTACTCTATAGGTAAGCCTTAGATACCGAAATCGCAGGATCGCACAATCGTAGAGTATGAAGCCAATCGGTTTCGGACAAATGGGGACCTCAGCCCTATCAAACCGCCTCGATTTGACGCTATCACCCGCGCTCTCTCGCTTAAAGGAATCTTCCGCGGAAAAAGCTCCGCCTCCATTACCCTAGAAAAACGATACCCCTTAGGCCCTAGCCTCATGAGCATAGCAAAAAGAACGGAACATAAGTGTTAGTTTCGATAATACTAATCCTACACACAACAAAATGAATCACTTCATATGGATAGATGCTATACGAAGTTATCGGTTGTCTTAAGGTAAATGAGGGCGGCAGCTTTTTCCGTGGAGGTGCGTAACACGGCTGATGATTAACTGTTATCTTTACGTATTCAAATCTCTTGCGCATAAAATTGGTTCATTCACTACGAAGTACCTCCTCCCTCCCTCCAAAGCTGGGTCCTTGAGCTCTCACCCTCTTGGTAGGGTTTGAAGCCGAGCCAGACAGCGTTCTCTAATCGTCTCTGCTCCGGCCTTCTCCGGCAGAGAACGTGGGGGAGAGTTCAAGTAATCACGTAATTCACCCGTTCCCTAATCGGCGTCTCATTCTGTCAGTATGTTATACGAAGATATATACCTCAAATATATAATAAATAAGGATAAAGCATTTGCCGTTGATCAATCCCTTTTTGGGATGCGCGCACGCATTCTACTTCCATTTGTACATTCGTAGTGGCGTTTGAATGCGATGTGGCCTATACAATGACTTGCGGGGGCCAGCCGATCAAGTCAGTGTTTTTATCCTCCCAGACAAGTCTGGTACCAATTAACCGACCCCGGAGGGATGGAAGGCTTGGTTGGCCCGGGCGACTCACGACCCAGGATTTGATCCCGGACCGCTCGCGTGGTGAGCGCGCCACTTGTCACTACACCACTTCCGCCCCTCTGCACCAATATCGATGCCACAATTCTCTATTTGGATCTAATGAAAAAGGCATCGAAAAACAGGATCACTATATCATACAGTTTGCTGGATTGCGTTAAAACGAGCCATCCAATGGTGTATACTTCCGAGAAGTTGCGGCCGCTTTCTGAGCTCTTTTTTCGAATGCCATATACAGAGAGAGAGAGTCAACGACAAAAAAACGCACGGGCTCAGCCATTCATGTCCAGCAGTCGACAGATGCCTGCCCAACGACTTCTTGAGAACAGGTTTGAAACATATGATGCAGATGCAGTAATCGGACGACCATATTTCTTCCTGAAACATTAGAATTAGATTCTTTTCTCCATTTAAGCGTCAAGACAAGAAAATTGGTTAGATACAGCTTCGAAAGAAAAAGGAAGTAGAAAGAATGAGGTCGTTAAAAAATGAGTTCATAACGAAGTTGAAACGATACCTTGTTCATACTTCTTCCAAACATTTCATGAACAAGGGCATCACGGTGAGCAGGTTTTATACCTCTTAGAGTGTAGAAAAGGTTGCTTCTGAAATAGATCAAACGGGAATGAATTTGAAGTCACATTCCTACACATGGCTACAAGCATAGCAACAATGCTGCTGTAGATGAGAGATACACGGAAGGTGAGTAGAGGCATAGTGTAATCGTGAGAAAGTCGGTGTTTAATCTCTACGTATAATACATATGTAAGAATCTCTTTTGCACCATGTTAAGGACACAGTCTCTAAGACGAACCCTTAAACCACCTCCCAATGCGAAGTCCGCTGTTGGGGAGCAATTTTCACAACAATCACTTATTGCATCCTAGCAGCATACACCGAAGAAACACTCTCCATCATTAAGGAAATCTGAAGTCTTCTCCCCACTGAAAACTGACAATTCAAAAAACGCATTTAGCACTAATTCCTCTAACCTTTGCGTTTGTCGTAGTAGCTTCGCTGTTTCGATCACATGATATTCCAAATCGAATCCGATCTCGTATGACAATATTGCCCTATAGAAAATTCAGTACATTTCTTTGCTAAACACAACATTTTCTAAAGAAAACAGTTTCAAGAAAGGGCCACGACCTTGGTCATGTACAAGTACGAAGCACCATGTTGTAATTCACATTAAACCTGTTCCATGAGAAAAATCGGCACTATTTGCCCTATACTGTCTTCAAAAACTGAAGAGCCGAATTTTTATCGAAATTTATCTATGACTAAGGATTTAGCTAGAAAGTTATCTCCAAGGGTACCTCGGACCGTAGAACACGAATACTCCATCATTTTATTGCGAAAACGCCTGACGCTTGCGCCCCAGGTACTGGTGCTCTCATATCAGCTTGGCGCCCAAGCACGTAGCGCAGGCTACAACTCGCAACGGAGTAATGTGATATTGATGTTCTACGGGCAAAATATCCCCAATGGGTAGTTTTCAGTGAACTTGATGATCCGAAGTATTCTGACGTCCTCTGTCGTGGTGTCTGTGGTGCGGGCGCCAGGCATTTTTGCTTTTCGTGTTTCGAGAGCTGAATTAGCCCAGGGGCAACTTTTTTTTAGGCAAGTTCAGGTCTTGATCATAATCTGATAAAAGGGCCTGTTGTTCGAGAAGTGGGGCACTAAATGGTGAGTAGTGCCGTAAAATCACTTTCAAAGCGAAGAAGAAATGGCATGCAGCAGCAGGACTTCAACTATACGAGTATGATGAAGGCAGTAGGAATTAAACAAGAAAGTGCCTGGGTGTGCAAGAACTCACGAACCAGCAGAGCCACTAAAGCGCGATCACCCAAGTGGTAAATCTGACAGCGTAAAAATAAACATTCTGAAAACAAACTATGTGGCAAAAAAAGAAAATTTAAAGACTCCTGTCCACTGCTAGAGGACTGCTTCATAAAGCCAGAGGAGCTACTTGCCAAGGTATCATCTATTCACTGCATTTCGGCTCTGACGACATCTCATCAGTACCTCATTCTCCTACTTCTTGATACTTAGCAATACCGTTAAAAACAGCGCTGGTCTGACCTCTCAAAAACACTGCCATAACTGCTTTCAATGTGAAGAGACGTTAAATATAACATAAATTTAATCGTGCCTTAAAATGTACAAGCAACGGAAGACTAGATGATAGAAAAAAGCTAGGCACTGACCATTCCTGCTGTATTGTTGACTCGATGTCTTCAAGGTTATGATGCTCAACAGCAAAATGTCGAAGGACAAAAAGACGCAACGAAATGTCGTTGTGAAAAGATGAACACCTCGAAACAGCATCCGACTCTTCGCATAAAGGACATAACCTATAAAGCAAGAAAGGTTTAGCTATCCAATCTGTCAGCAAAATCAACACTTACATTGCTAAAAAAAAAACTAGGGCTCACCATGCAAAAGGTAAATTCGACGTCTGGCGATACTTGTAACGAAAAAGAGCGCTTCGATCGGATATACTAAGAAACTTCTGACGGCAGTTTTCCCTATATTTCCCTGAAAACTAAATTATAGAATCCTTAGACTCTAAGCGATGATTTGTGTCCCCTAAACAGAAATGGCAATCACTGCGCGCATTTTACGCTACTAAATACCGGAGCCTTATTTCCTGCCGGAGACTTATTTCCTGCTTTTCGCAGAATAATAGTGGTGACGATTTACTTCACTTACCAAGCCCCATCCTTGTAGAACCAGTGAAGATAGAGTTTTCAGGAATTCGTGAACACGTATCTTCTCCAGTAGTGGTACTCTTTAGTGACCTTAAACATCACAGTGAGCAATTCCTGCGATTTTTTAATAGAAAAAAAAACTATGAAAATGAAAAGCCTACGCTGATAAAGATTCAACCAGCTGTATGTCATTGTTTGAGAAGTCGAATTTGTGAAACAAATCACCTCACGCATTTCGTACCTCTCGATTTCTGTAAAACAAACATTGCTTTTGCATTGATAGGTCAGACATGTGAATTCACGCTATTTAACACAGCTAAAGCTAATAAAACGTGAGAATACTGCAGGAATAAATATAATTATGAAATATCATATGACGAATGTGACGAATGTCATTGCGTTTATACAAGAAAAAAAGAACTATTTTAAGGAGGTGCATTCAAAGAATGATTTTGTGATTAATCGAGTTCACTTCAGTAGGACAGAAAACGACTTTTTGCATCACTTCGAAACATTTTTTGCTGCGGGAACCTCAAGCCCGCCGCTGGTCATGAGTGGACCTGAAGCTCCTGCAGCGAAAAATGTCTCGCGCTGCGAAAAGGGAGAAAATCGCTTTCTGTCCTATGAAACCACCACCCCTGATAAAGCATGGGCGATAGAACTGATTAGAATGGAATCAATAGTATTAGAAGTTATAAATACAAAGGTCTAACAAGAACTAAGATACACCGAGAATGGGAAATACTTTCTTGTGTTTGCTTATTTTGATCACTTATTAAAACTTCCAAAGAAGTGAAATAAAAAACAACTTTAAAAAGGTCTATAGACAGCTAGAGAACAAAGAGACATGTAGACAATTGTAAACAAAAACCAAACGGGAACTTACACAACCTTTCCCTAAGAAAGGTGTTCGAACTCAAAAAAATCCTTATGAGCCTCCGCTGCAAAAAAAAACGCGAAAATTCCCAATGAAGATGAAGATATAGCTCAACTTTCAACAACGAAATCTGGCGTAACCACCCACCTGTCCATTACAGAGCTTTTCCAAAAAAAAGCGAAGAATTTTGCAAAGTTGAAGCACATTCGTACTCACCACTGTGTTCTTGTTTGAAATGCTCATCCATTTTTGACTTCTTATGAAAAGTGAAGCATGATGTACAGGGAACTTTTTGAGAATTGTCCAGCTGAAAAGGAAATCAGGGAATATTACATAAGTGTTCCACATGGTAAGGCACCTCGTACCTCTCCTTCATGTTTACGAAGATGTCGTATGAATTTCCGCACAGTGAGATCGGGTGACTTTAATGTGCTGGATAATACCGTATGTTCACATATTGGACATGTCAGCTGATTGTTTTTGAAAAGCGTTGTCTGTTTCTGAAATAAGAACGAAGCTTATCCAGAATGTTGAAAAAAGTTAAAACTTGCAATAGCGGCAGGCGATACCGTAAATGTTGACACTGAATGCAGGAGATGTCACCTTACCCCTCGGCTTCAATGCATTTTTTTTCTTTTCACTTTTTATAAGGTTCCAGTTCTTGACTTTCTTTTGAGTTCAAGAACAAACCAGAACCAAAATGCTGTCAGAGCCTGCGCATAGAATACCGCAAAAAAGAACCACAGATGCCTCTTGCAAGAACTTATGTCGAACTTGACATTTTTGGCTGGACAACATTTTTTCACGCTCTATCGATCGCCGAGGGCGGAAGTGGTGTAGTGACAAGTGGCGCGCTCACCACGCGAGCGGTCCGGGATCAAATCCTGGGTCGTCCCGGGCCAACCAAGCCTTCCATCCCTCCGGGGTCGGTTAATTGGTACCAGACTTGTCTGGGAGGATAAAAACACTGACTTGTACATCGGCTGGCCCCCGCAAGTCATTGTATAGGCCACATCGCATTCAAACGCCACTGCGAATGTACAAATGGAAGTAGAATGCGTGCCGCATCCCAAAAAGGGATTGATCAACGGCAAATGCTTTATCCTTTTTTTATCCTTATATCGCCATGTAGAGTGCAAATATGCAAATAGAGCAGTTCTCGTTAGTAGGGATGACTTTGTTGAAAACTAAAAAAAGGTGAAGCAATTTTCAGGTCAGCTTTCCTGTGTTTTTCATTCGGTGTGGTAGTGCTTCCTAATTGTTCTTTTTGTCACAAATCATAGTAGGAAATATATTTTCATTCCGTAATACGGTGAAATGTTGTTACAGTGTTGAAATATGAGAAGATTTCTCGAAACGTGGAAAATGATCATAAAAACGTCTAATGATAATTTTTTGAAATTTATTCTGGAAATATTGTATTTTACTACTGATGGCATGTCAAAATCAGCTGAGAATATCAAGCTTGACATTAGTTATAGCAGAAAAAAACGTCTGCGGTGATTTCTTTTTTTGACGGTACTTTATATATGAGATCTACACCATAAGTAAATAGCGTGAGAAGCATTCAATCGAGCATTACAGTACGTTGCCTGCCTATTATTTGTTATGTTCCCTTCAAAAAATAAAAGAGAAATGTATGAAAAGATCAATGGAACGCAACGAAATGAGGTCTCGTGTTTCTTCGAGACTTCGAACGGAAAGTAGAATAAAAACAACTGCAAAATTCATCTGTTGGTTTCCGGCATGAGCCAGACATTCTAATTCTATTTATCGTGGTGGAAATTGAGTGTGGTTTTGAAACAATACAATGACTTGCGGGGACCAGCAGGTGTACGCGTTTTTTTACCCCTTTCAAAGAATGGTACCAATTGACTTCAGGAGCAAAGAAAGCCGAGTTTCGATATGCGGACTGGACCGTGCGCATGTAGGTGGTGTCACTTGCCATTACACCATCTCCGCTACTTGAAACGAGATTACCGTTGGTGAGTTAATATTTTTGTTTAGTATATGTCCAGAGAGACGAATTCTTGACATAACGGCGAAATCGCGAGGTGAACTCAGGCGCCCGAGAGGTGAGGGCGTGTTCTTGACTTGCTTGGAAAACATGTCCGTGCTTGTAAACCACCAATCATTCAGAACCTCAGGTTAGGTGCATGAGCATTTCATTTTACTCTAATCCTCTCGTAAAGCGCAATGTAACCAAGTATGTGGTAATCTCACAGCTACTACGGCAAAGTCTAAAGGAGAGCTGAACGCAAATCAGCCACTTAATGAAATTAAGTGTTAGATAGAAAAAAAACAAGGCTGATGAAGTACTGCTTCAGTTAGGCCAAAATTTATAATCATATTCCACACGGGTCAGCAATGGAAAGATCTCTCACCTCAAGAATTCGGACCTTATCAGCTGATTCCCCATTACTTTCGCTGCCCTGGCGTTTCCTTGAAGTACTTGGGCAAGTCGACTTCTGAAAAATAGCTCGTAGTGTTTGCACTGAAGAAGAGGGAGAGGGGAGGGGAGCTAGTGGCGAAACAGTTACTACCGCAAAGAGGCAATCTCACTTTTTGCGAAGGAAGAGAGCTCCGAGGAGTGGAGGAGCGAAAGTACAGGGTGGGCCACAATTATGAGGACCGTGTGCGCGCGCGGTCATACCCACTTTTTTCCGAGTAGCTTCATCCTCATCTCCTTTTCTTTGCACTATGTGGGAGGGTGCAATATCTTCCAAACCAAATTTCATGCAGTTCTCAAAACTAGAGAAATAAACTACACCTCCTTACGTCAGTCCTCAAATTGAACTCACTAAGGGCTCTGGCACGTTACATCTAGCGGCAGTCTAACCTATCAGGGAAGCCCTTATGAGCAACAGTTCAACTCTTCAATAAGTTTGGAACCACCACAGATGGAAAATTCGGGGACTCGAAAGTTACAGTTACCACCAGGATAATTATCAGATGCAGAAACTAGGTCTCCCCTTGTCGACTTTCGTACACCCAAAATGAAAAAATTGATGTGAAAACCCAGCCAGACACTCTAAAGACTCCACATCTGTAGTGGATAGAAAGCCACACGAGTAGTCTACTTGGGAACTTCTTACAGGCCATCGAGCACCTAAGATGAAAAATTCCAAGGAATTTGAGCTCATTTTAAGATGCACATGAACCCTCCCTAATCTAGAAAGTTTTTTAGTCATTCTTTGATATTTTTTATTTTTTGCTTTAATGGATTCCACCTGGACATAGTTAAATCGATACCCTGGAGGCAAGGGCAAATAAATGCAACACAAAAGTTTGATTCCCTGAAGAAGGCAGAGCAGAAGGCCTGGAAACATTTGGACACGCCTCAGTTGCGTGCCACCGCACGCGCCATCTTCATCTGAAGGCTCGTGTAAACAGGGGAAGTGGCAGATCTCAATTCTATTTCTTATAACTTCATCTCCAAGATTACAGTATACAAACCTTGGCTCCCAGACAATACCTAACCATTTGGGCGCGGCCGCGGCGAACGCGGCCGAGTCGATTGTGCCCGCGAACCGTTGAAAACGCACTCGAGGTGCCCGCGAACTGTGCTGTGCTGAGTTCGCGGGCACCTATCAACTCGGCCGCGTTCGCCGCGGCCGCGCCCAAATGGTTAGGTATTGTCTGGGG